ACCTGGCTTCTTTTATTTCTCGTTTTTCACAGTAACCAATCACTATAAACATTTCTCCCCCATTCTCCCTCGCCTTTCCATGTCCAAGGCTCCTTATTGTCTCTAGTATTCCGTCTCCATGTTCATTTTCTCGTATTTCTCTTTTTACGTCTCTCTTCTCTTTCGTTTCTGTTTTAAGTTCGTCCCACCTACAACCGTCATTCAATTTCAAACACAGGTTATACTCAACCTCTATTGTAACATTTCAAGCCACCGTCACTTTTTTTTTTCTTTTTCCTATTTCTTTTCTTTGTTTTACCTCCGTTCATTCCAGCACGGCTGGACTCCTCCAAATCTTGTTTTTCCCGCCGGCCACGCGAATAGAATGGCTCCTATCCGTCCGGCACTTCGGAAATTCTTCGTTTGATCAAAACTCTATTACCGTCAAAATAAGTTTTCAACACTTGCACCATTTTTAAACATTAGAAAATTTTGTTTTTCATTTTTGCATTTTTTTCTATCTTCGTGTGAATGAATCTATGAATCTATCTATCTATCTATCTATCTATCTATCTATCTATCGTAGTTATTTTATATATATCTAACGCAGCTTTTATACCTATCTATATATCTATTAATCTATCTCAAACTGTTCACACCTATCGATCAGTCCATCGTAGCCTTTTTATATCAATGTAACAGTGTCTTTTTATATCTATATATTGTAGACCTTTTATATATATATATATATATATATATATATATATATATATATATATATATATATATATCTAAAGCAGTGTTTCTATCTATCTATCTATCTATCTATCGCAGTTTTTTATATCTCTCCAATCATTGTAGTATTGTTATATCTATCTATCTATCTATCTATCTATCTATCTATCTATCTATCTATCGCAGTTTTTACATCTCGTTCCAGTCATTGTAGTCTTGTTATATCTATCTATCTATCTATCTATCTATCTATCTATCTATCTATCTATCTATCGTAGTAAATGTGAAATTTGTCTAACGTCTTCTTTTGATATCTATCCATCTATTTATCTATCGTAATCTTTTATTCCATTCTCTCACTCTCTGTATATATATATATATATATATATATATATATATATATATATATTATCCACCTTGGAAGGAAGAAAGAAACTTTAAGTATGCCCTCTAATTCAGGGATCAATTCTAATCTTCCGTTCTTATCCCTTTAATCTCTTCATCTCACGCATCAATCATCAGTACTATTTCAACTATAAACCTCTGCCTTGAGGTGTTCTCAAGCCTCATATTGACTGAAATTGAGTAAAAAGAAAAAGTTCTATATAGTTCAATCAGTCAAGATTTTGAAAATATTTGATATACGGTTTTTTTATGACTGAGGTTAATATAAATTAACAGCTTAAGAAATCACATTCATCAACATTATTATTATTTTATTTCCTTTGGTTTCTGGGATATACTCATTTCTTTCCGGGTTCCAACCAGAGATCTAAGGTCAGAAATGGCATCATGACATTTTTCACTGAGCAGTTTTGGAAAAAAAATCGCACATATTTTACATAGGTAAAGGCCTTTGTAAAGTGTGGGTTGTACTTGTGAGTACATTTTTCTGTATTTCTTTAAGGCATGGGCTACCAGGGATTCCGTCAATGAATCTATTGGAATATTTTCCAATCAATCCGAAGGCTCCAACTGCAACTTGAATTGTTATTAATTTTTTTTTTTTTCACTCCAACCAAGAAGAGAATGTCTCTGGGACGCAGGAGGTTACAAGGAAAAAGACTTTAGTGACGATAAATTTGGAAAAAGGACAATAAAGAACACGCATCAGGAAGGCAGAAGATGGCGATTGATGTTGCATTTATTTTTTGAAATTTGTAGGTGACGGGGTGTTAGAATTTTTGTGTACCTTGGTACTAGTGAGCCAGCCAAAATGAGCTGACTCATTTTATAGTTCACCAATAGATGGTTTAACCAATCAGAAGGCTCAAAATATTCAATGCGACGTGTATAAAGGCGGCCATGTTTTTTTCCGAATATTCTCTGGCAGCCTCTGATATCGAAGACTGAAGAATTACGGAACAGCTACTGGTGGTATTGGCGATATAGTCAGATTCAGTAGAGTGTCTGACTCGTGAGTGTCAATCTTTAACGTTGCTTCATTGAACAGATTACGTACTGCGCTGTATTCTATATTCATAGACTATGGTGAACATGGTTAACACGGGGAAGCAAGAAATCAGAAGGGAGTTCCACAGGTGAGAAGAGCGAGAAAAAGAAAAACGATTAGAACAGAACTGAAGGTTCCATATAGCTTTAAATTCAAAATGTTGATAAGGCGTAAGAAAAACATCAATCAAAAACACATGGGTCAAGGCAGGCTGTGCGGTTTTTCTGTGACCGTCAGCCCGCAACATATCAATGAAAAATTAAATCTGATGTCAGTATATTTTTAAATCATCTCAAGCAAGGCGATAATTCCACTAAGACGCAAGGTGTTACAGAGGGTGAGATTCAATGACGCAGATTTTAGTGAAGCAAAGGACAATACAAGAAGAGGATTCAGGAAGACAGAAGATGGCGCTTTGCGTTGCATTTAAATTAATAGAACTTTTACCAGTAAATTGTTATTATTATATTAATAATAATTACTATTATTAAATGTTGATAAGCCATAAAAAAACAATCACTGAAAAATACATGGGTCAAGGCAGACTGTGCGATTTTTCCGTGACTGTCAGCCCGCAACATATCAATGTTTTAAAGAAAAGCAAAGCGATAATGCCACTAAAACACAAGGTGTTACAGGGGGTGAAATTGAATAAGAAGATGTTAGAAGGAGCCGAGAACACAATTCTCAACAAGAATAAAAAGACCTGGGAGGAGTGTGAACCGGGCGATAGGCAAACCTATCTACTTCTATTTGTGGAAAAAAAAAATTCAAACTTTAGACGGAGATTTTGGAAGTACAGAGTTGAAGTAGAATTTAGAAGGAACCGGAAACCTAAACAAAAAAACAAAAAAAAAAACAAAACAAAATCAAGGGATAAAAATATTCTTGTTAAAAAGACAAGGAAGGCGTGTCAACCGGACAATAGACACATCCCTTTTGAACATTCCGAATAGTGTAATGGTTAACAAGCTTGTTTCGCTAGATCACTTACGACTGACTAGTGAGTTCGATCCTCACTGGGTGCCCCATACCTACGGCCTTGTGATACAATTAAGCTACACTTAGTAAATCAATAAGACATTTCGTTGTGGTATAATGTCTGGCGAGCTTGTCTCGGTACATCAATTACGACCGAGTAGTGAGTTCGATCCTTACTGGGAGCCTAATACTTAAGGTGTTGTGACACAACTAAGCTACGCTTAGTAACCGACTTAAAATTGCCTGCCCTAAAAAATGTATTCGAAATTTTAGTTTTTATCATGACTAGAACATCGTCTTCTGGTAGAGAAAGCTCAGCCGCGCCTTCTGCCAGGTTAAATAGAGGCTCTATATAAGAATTACGCTATACTAATTTTGCTAATTTTTCAAGTGGCGACAACCGGTTTGTTTTGGAAGTCAGTATTCGAAATCCGTTTTTATTATTATCATTATTATTATTATTATTTTGGATCAAACAGTAACCTTTCACACCGGTGGGAGACCAAGCGACTAACTTAATTATGAGCTAAGCACCTTTTTAGTTTTTGATATTTTCGCATTCGCTCCATCTTTTTTTCTTCTTTTTTTCTTTTTTTTTCTTTTTTTTCTTTTTTCATTTTTTTCTTTTTTTTTCTTTTTTTCTTTTTTTCTTTTTTCTTTTTTCTTTTTTTTTCTTTTTTCTTCTTTTTTTTTTGTAGTCTATGTTCATCCCTTTTATTGTTAACCATGTCATCTCTATGGATTGTTTGTTTTGTTCTTCTTTTTACATTGTTTTCTGTCCATTTTCTTTTTGTCTTTCATTTTTTTTTTTTTAAGAATTGTTGTCCGGCAAGTATCCAACCGTGTTTTTTTTTTTTTTTTTTTTCTCAAAACAGCGCATCAGTCTCGGTGTGGGCAAAATTTAATTCTCTACAACTTCTTGGCTTATCCCCATTTTTTGTTTTCCAAAGATCACGGTTTAAAGTGAGAAGATATCAACCCGTGGACAAGACAAAGTGAACGCGATAAAGGAGCTGATGGCAATCCCGAAAGCGGACATTACAAAATGATTCGAAATATATAAGGCATTAGTCTCAATCATTTTTGCCCAATCCACCTTTTCACCATAAGTCAGAATTTCATCCCATACATCTAAGATTGTCTGACTCAAAAGTTGAATTCGAAATAATATGCATATATTATTGAAAATCTTCATTCATTTCCATATTAGTACGTATACATTTGCGTGGATTATTTTTTATAGAAGAGTTTTACAAATTTAATAGCAACAGAAAATGTCGATTTTTAAACTTGAATATATGTACCATAATTTGTTTTAATTCATAAATCTTACTTATTATAAAACGCAGATTGTGTGTGTGTGTGTGTGTCTGTAACGTTTATATATTGGATCGGATTTTCTACATTTTTCAACCGAATTCAACAAAACTTCACAGGACTACATAAAATTACCTTGTGGTGGTTCTAACAACGCCAAAAATGGGAAAAATATAATTGTTTTTGCACAAAATCAATTTGAAAACACGATTAAGAGACATTGTGAAAATGGAAGGGGGACAACTCACATCGGGTTGTTTGTGTGTGTGGGTTACTTTAAATATGGGAGCGGATTTCCTATATTTTTCAGCCGATAAAACAAAACTTCACTTTTTTTTTTTTTGGCAGGTAGTGTTTCTTATTCTCTTGCACACTTTTTTTCTTTATTTTTAACATTCAGAATGCTTTAAAAATTCCATTTACAAGACAATTATTTATAATAAAATTTTATTCAATCAGTAGACTCATAACGATTGAAAACAATGTTTTTGTTTGAGTTTGGTTTTGACCAATTCGTAAAAAAAAAAAAAAAAAAAAAACTAATTAAGACGTACGTGTCCGTCACCCTTAAACAATAATCTAACGATCTCTACTGATTGTACGAATACAAACATAAATTCTTTATCTTTAGGGAAAGATAATGAAATCTAAACATACACAAAAGTCTTAACTAAAAATAATAACCGGAACGGGAAACTACTTTAAATACACATGGTGTCCAATTTTTTTACTGTATTCAATAAGTAAAAATCATAAATTGTAAAAGATTATTATTATAGAAAGGCTACTAAATGAATAAGATTTGTTACATCATAATTAATAAACCCAAATAAAGTTAATATTTTTTGTATTAGAAACAACGAGTGGAAAATATTCAAATCAGAATTCTAATTATGAATCACCACAAGCAAATCTTCAATAAACAAAAAAATTCAATAAAAAGTCAGGATATTTAAATCGATTTTATTCTGATCAAGAATACATTCACTGAGAATCTTATGAAAAGGTAAAATATTTTTACCCCCCCCCTCCCAAAAATAATTACTTGAATTTCCGCTGGTCGGCAATAAAATTACTGAGAATCCCATATTTATCATATTTTTTTTCTGATTATTCGTAATACTTTTAATAAATATTACTACCTCTGTCCCATAATAATTGGTACGCTTTCCATGTTTTCTTTTGATTATTGGCAACACTTATTAATAGATATGATTGCCTTTGTCCCATAATAATTGGTACATTTGTCTATTTTTCTTTGGGTGAATGGCAACAAGAGAGAGGGTGTTGTGGAGAGTAAACATTGTCGTCATCATAAAGGGACGTAGCTTATAAAAGAACAGTTATATTAAAATGAATTCTTTAAAAGTAAGTATAAATTGAAATTTTTGAAAATTCCTTTTGCTATGTTGATGTATTTTAGCAGATATTATTAACCATGAGAGGAAATTTAAGAACACATGTCACTTGAAATTTCTATGCAATTTGGCAAGTGAATAAATAAATACAGCAAACATGGTATCGTGTTTCAAAAGGACTTTTTTTTCATTAGCACTGCTATTATTTTAACTACATTCACTCCCTCGGCAATGTTTATTTACATGATTAGAAAAACATATTTACCTTTTATAAAGATGTATTATTTACTTTTGAAACATCGTTTTTTTTTGGGGGGGGTGCCGGCACGAAGGTTGATGTTTGTCCAAAACACTGTGTAACACATTTTATCCACTGGCTTAATGCCATATCACAAATCACAGTAAAATGACCAACAATACATTTTTATAGTAAAATGAGCAACAAAACATTCTTATAGCAAAATCACCAACAATATATTTTAATAGTAAAATAACTAACAATAAATTCTTATAGTAAAAGGACCAGCAAAGCATTTTATCGAAAAATGACCAACAATACATTTTTATAGCAAAATAACCAACAATACATTTTTATAATAAAATGAGCAACGGTACATTTTTATGGCAAAATCACCAACAATATATTTTTATAGTAAAATGACTAACAATACATTCTTATAGTAAAATGACCAACAATACATTTTTATAGTAAATGACCAACAATACATTTTTATAGTAAAATGACTAACAATACATTTTATAGTAAAATGACTAACAATACATTCTTATAGTAAATGACCAGCAAAACTTTTTATCGGAAAATGACCAAAATACATTTTTATAGTAAAATGACCAACAATACATTTTTATATTAAAATGACCAATCTTATCTGAATGAGAGCAAGTAGGGGGGGATATTTAATGATAAAATAGAAAAATTTGGGTAAAGTCGTAAAAGATGTTTCAAAAGGACATTTTTCCATCGACACCGCTATTATTTTAACTACATTTACTCCCTCAACAATATTTATTTACAAGAATATAGAAAATACTTATAAAGATTTATTACTTACCATTTTATAGAGAGATGAACGTGAAAAGAAATTGTTTTATTCAAAAAAATTTTTTAAATTACAAAATCATCAAAATCAGTAAACGATCTACAACAGGGGTCAGCAACCTTTTGCTAATTATGTGCCGACTGAAGGTTTTAAAATCATTCAGTGTGCCAACAGTAAACCTATTTTTATACAAGTCAAAGTTAATATACCTTTTGTACAATATACTGTATATAGTAAATATGCTTTAGTATATATTAATACAGAGACAGTTAAACATCATCTTTGCGTTGTAATAGTTATTGGTTCTGACTTCGTGATGTCATTTGCGGCTACGTGTCATTGGAAATTGTTTGGCGTGCCACGTGTGGCACGCGTACCGAAGGTTGCTGCCCACGGATCTACACTGCATTGAGTTTTAAAGCATCTAGTAATTGACGATTTTACCTACGTTCACTCCCTTGACATTGTTGTTTTAAAAAACGATAAATAAAACCCAAACATATGAAATTAAAATTAAATGAAAAAGTCATCTCAAATATAAAATAATCTGATAAAATGTATTACGTCCAGAAAAATCATGTTTATTCAAATTTTGTTTTAGAATTCTTTGATATAAAATTATAAATAAATAACTCGTTTTCATAGTTATTTATAAAATGGTACAAAATAAAAATATTTCTTTCTCTATTTATGCCGTTACTTTTTCTCTTTTTTCTTCCTCTCCTTATCATCTTTTTCTTCTTTTACTTTCTCTTCTTTTTCCTCTTTTTGTTTTTCTTTCTTTCTTTAATTTCTTTCTTTCTTTTTTTATTTATTTATTTGCTCTGTTACTTTTTCCTTTCACTATCCTTTTCTTTCATCGTCGACGTCATTTTTATTTCTTTTCCCATTTTCTATTTCTTCACTTTTTCTTTAGTCTTCAATTTTTTCTGCTGATAAAATATTTTTACTTTTCCTTTAAATTAATCCGTTTTTCTTTCTTTCCTTTTCTGTCTTTCTTTCACTTTGTCATTCTTTCTTTCTTTCTCTCTCTTTCTTTTTCTCTTTATCTCTTTCTTTCTTCTCTCTTTCTTTTTCTCTTTCTTTCTCTCTGTCTTTCTTCTCTCTCTTTTTTATTTCTCTCTCTCCTTCTTTCTTTCTTTCTTTCTTTCTCTTTTTCTTTCTTTATTATGTGTATCTTTTTGGTTCTTATTTTTCTAATTCTTTTCATTCTTAATTCATTTTCGTCTCTCTGTCCATTAATTTTCCTTATTCTTTCTTCCTTCCTTCCTTCCTTCCTTCCTTCCTTCCTTCCTTCCTTCCTTCGTCCTGTTATTTGCATGCCTCCTCATCGCTTTTATTCTCCCTTCTGACACCTTTCTATTTGAGAACATGTCACTCGATTATTTGGCTAAACAACCGCTGGCGCCATCTTAGACTTTGAAACGAGGCGGGAAAATCGGCTCAGTCATTCTCTATCACAACGTACTGCCTTTTCCTATTGATTTGGTTCCACAATGGCGGACTCTATCAAAGACATGGTTAAAAAAAAAAATAGGGGCCCAAAGTGTATCACTGATGAGAGGCTGTGAACATTGATAACACCAAAACCCCCAGATGTGAGTATATTGTGATTGAGAGATGGGAAAATGACACGAATTCCCACGCGATATCGGCGCTGAAAAGAGTTCCAATGTCTGTAACTCTTGCTTAACAAGTGGGGTCTGCATTAAAATTTTCCTGCAGTTCACAAGTTTGGGAAACTTTAAAAAAAAGTTTCTATAAATTTACATAAATATTTATTGATAATTAATTTATCACTCTCTCGTGTTGGGCTGCAATTAATAGATCTCAATGTAAGATTTTAATAAATGTTTAACATTAAAACATTTAATCACTTTGCATTAATATATTGACATCCGTTGGTCTCGAGAGACCTTAGATCTGCACCCGAAGAGTTATGCCCTCTCCAGTACACTGTGCTTGGCAGCGTTTTTTTTTTTTTTATAAGAGATCGGCAGTTGTCCACGCAGCACGTTTGTCCTCTCCACGTCACCGGTGTTGTCCAAGGGAAAGGCAGGGGTCAGTACAGCTTGGTAGCAGCGTCGTTGCAGGAGTTTCGAGAATGAAAATGAGCATGTCTGTCGGCTCTGTCTTTGAATTCAGAATTGTCCGTCTCCTAATCTGGTTACCAAACATGGCTACAGAAAACAGACTTCGCTACTATTTACCCATAGTCGGAGGTCTTGAATTAAGAGATTTTTCCTTCTCCTTGACTGGTTTCCAACTAGTAATAATTGCATCAATAATTGCATTGGTAGTTCATGCACTAAACGGAATATAAAACAATTATAATTTTAACATTTTTGCACTATCGTTCACCCAATAAAAGTCCATAGAGCCACTCAAATTAGATTGTTATTTATTGAGATTGTTATAAGGGCGTAAAGGCAGGAGAAAGATATGCATATTATGAAGATAGACAGCATAGATAACGTTTGAGAATACAATTGAAGAGGCTGACATTGTTGTGGTCGAAGAGGTAATCAATCGGATGTCTATTCCACAAAGTGAGAGTTAATTACCAAAGAAATACGAAGACAATAACGTGACATGTCGGGTCGTAGATGTGAAGGTCTGAACTGGTGGAACTGAAAAAATTGAGCTCTTCTGAACTTCATCTATAGAAATAGCAACAGAGTATCAACAGGCTAACAACTTTTCGTTTGGAGGAAAAGGGTTGCAGGGTGGAATATAATATATCTTCATCGTTTTTTAACTCTATCAAGGCTGTACAGTGAACTGGCGTTGGACTTTTTAAAAGTAAACAATACTACGCCGGAGGTAGTCCCAACACAGCAATTTGCTCCAAAGCCAATACAACAACCTGTAAACTCGGGTCTAATTTTTAAATAGCCTCGTCAAATCGAAATTTTCATGCGTGGATGTCATACGTGACGCCAAAAATACGTTCAAAAATGTCCTGGGTATGACGATAAACTACATCCGGCAGCAAGGCCTCTGATAGGAAGATTTAAGGTTTTGAGAAGCGCCTCTTAATATTTGTGGTACTCGGTTCCACACTAACCCGGGGTAGTAGCACCTGTTAGGGTCCCATCTATTGGAAAATAGGGAACCCACAAAGAAAAAAACTATTAAATATAAAAATACAAATTTCTAGTAAAAATACCAGTAATACATTATATATAAAAATGACCAACAATACACAATTATAAGAAAATGACCAACAATAAATTGTATAGCAAAATAAACAAAAATACATTTTATAGCAAAATGACCAAAAATTTATTTTATAACAAAATTACCAACAATACATATTTATAGTAAAATGACCAAAAATACATTTTATCTGTAGTTAAAGGTATACAATTGCGTCCAGATTATTTAGATTTCGTCATTAAATAACCCATAGAGATGTTGATATGCTGCTAAACGAAATCAAGCAACCAACATGAGAGAACTTTTTCATGCTATTAATCCATATAATATCCTACAATGTCTTGGGGAAATCAAAGTATATCCCAAAATATAACATCAACAAAACACATAAAACACACATATCAACGCCTCTAGTCATGTCTTCTCAACACAAGCATGTATATGCACAGAAGCTATGCATCATCTACCATGTATTCAACTGTGAAAGCAGAATAACATATATCATATTTTTATTACTTCGAAGTTCCCCCAAAAATTAAATTTCGGTATTAAATCTCTTTCTGTAAAAGGCAAGATGTGTGTGTGTGTGTGTGTGTGTGTGTGTGTGTGTGTGTGTGTGTGTGTGTGTGTGTGTGTGTATAACGAATAAACGGCCGCAATTTTCGACGGATTTGCACCAAAATTTACATGCACATGCTCCAAGTTAGTGGGAAGGGCAAGACCGACATTGCATTTCCCAACTCCCATCGATAGTGGAAATAATCGATTTTTTCAATCTTCTACGGCAGTTTTCATGTAGTTTGCGGCCATTTTCTACTGGCCAGCGTGAGAGTCAACAGCTAACTGACACGAATGTTAACTAGTATGTTAGCATGCAAAAAAAATCGATAGTTGCATTCATCATAAGCTGGAAAAATTCAGATCTGCATGGCACTTTACTCCAATTGGCTCATTCGCTTGCTTACTCAACGTTGATTCTGATTCCGCAGAACTGGGTTGGGTGAGAAAAAGTATTTTATGTTAACATTCTTTTTTCATTCGGTTTTTCCAGTTACGAGTCCTTTTTTAAAGCTGATCGTTTTGTGTTCTTTTTTCATAACAGATTTAATGTTTAGTATAGAGCATAGAAAAAATTCACAGTGTGAGATAGACAAGAAGTAAGGCATGTAGCAACATCAGCATGGCAAAGGGCACTCCTTTAAAGTCAAGGAAGGGGTTGTACGATTTTTGAATCAAGCACGAGCAACGCCGGGCCATGCTGCTAGTGACCCACAAATGTATTGATATGCCGTTAAACAGACAAATCAATCATCAATCCATCATCCATATCATATCTAAATTGTCAGCTATACAAAAAGGTTTTCTAAAGATCAATGGTTAAAAATGGCTTTGAGCGAGTGAATCCTTTGTGTCTTAGCGAAAAACCTACTTCTTTGAACAGTGTAGATTAACGCTACAGAATCGCAAACAAAGAACTGTACCAAATAATAGAAACCACATCACTTGTGGAGCAACGACATGGACTGCACATGTATCTCGAAGAGAAAATAATTATGTTTGCCTATCGTCCGGTTCACACTCCTCCCTGGTCTTTTAAACATCTGCTGAGTTTAGGATTGTTTTCCTGTTCTCTGTAAGTTTTTTTTTTCATTTTCTTTCACTTTCGCTGGCCCCTTGCATCTCGGTGGTATTATCACTTGGCTTGGGCGGTGTCTCTTACTCAGTAATCCTCTACCTAGCATGACTCTTGCGCCTTGTCCAGAGTGAACATCATTGTCAAAAAAACAAAACAAAAAAAAAACTTCAAACAAAAGGTTAAGAAGTAAACTCCCATCAAGACTGGAAAGAGCAATAACAGTTACTGATCTTGAGAAACCTGTTTTCCCGAAAAAAATTATGAAGAGTAAAACTTACCATTACCATTATCCGAAATTCTAGAGATCGAAAAACTTCGAAGACCGAATTTTTTTTTCCGTGGGTGTCGTTTGAACACCAATGCTTGAGCTTAACGCCGAACAAACGAAAAATATTTAGAATATTCTTCCGCTGAGTTGTTTATTTATAGCCTGGGAGGGCGCACGAGATGTTCTTATTTCGACGAGACAGTCTCAGACCAATACATGTAACTAAGGCGATACTTATACCAGGCCTGCTAGCCATGCGACGGGAGTCCGGAACTTGGGGCGGACGTGTGGAAACCTAAATTATTACTAAATAACAACTACTGAGAACATTTTAGCAAGAAACTTGTTAATAATGTCTAATAATTAGTTAATTAGTAATTATATATATTAGGATGCATCTTGCAGTTATTGACTTATTTACATAAATGCAAATATACAAAGAAAGAATGTAAATCCTCAGAAAAAATCCTGTTTATAAGTATTCTTATACAATTTTTCAAAAGTGAAGATTTTGTATTTTTTCTGTAAACATTCTCTCAACATTTTGCACAGAAGCAGAATTTTGTTTTTTGTTTTTGGCTGAGGAACAAATGACAAATGGTCAAACATTGATGATGAATTTTCTGGGTCGTACTTGTTTTGTAATGACCACTGTAATCAGATAGAAAATGCCTTTAACAAACAACAGTGTTTGGTTTGGCAAGGGTGTTGTCTTGAGGAATTGCCTTTAAGCCTCGTTCTCGCTCATTCTGATCTTGGGGAAGACGAAATGCACAAACCTTATTTTGTTAATCATAGTTCCCACAACAACCTGTTACATAATACTTTTTAACATTTCGACACAGATTTTGGAGTAATGAATTTAAAAAATATTAACTTAAACTATTATTTTGTAATAATTACATGATGCTTCTAAAAAAGTGTATAACCCTCATATTCTAAGGTCTGGAGGGTTTAGGATTCAGAATTAAGAATTTTAAAGTTTGTATGAATGTGGGGCACGGTGGAGTAATGGATAGCGACTCGGGATAGGATTGAGGACCCCATTACATTCACTTACGTGCTATTGGGAAAGGTACGAATCCTCTTCTTCTCCCCCCAGGTAAATAGCAGGTTCTATAGCCTTGGATGGTAACTGGTCTACCACAACATGGCAACTGGTCTACCGCAGAAAGAAATGGCAAACTACTGCAGGAAATAATCTGCCTCGTCAGTCGTGTATCGAAAGATACATGATCGCCTAAGCGTGTAATCACGCATGGCACATAACTGACTGATGAATGTGAGAATTTGTCGTCTTATGTTATTTTCCGTTATCTTTAAGGAAAATTCCGTGGTTCCAAAGGATTTCCAAATTGTTTCACGAGTCAGGGTCCTTCTTATGTTGAAGTTACAAAGCAAACAACTTACGTCATTAAAATTTTTGGAGAATCGTATTTTATGGGTGGGGACCGAGTCGATCACCTCCTACTCCATAAAATACGATTATCTAAATAAAACTAACCTGTTTAATATTTTTACAGTATATTTAAAAAAAAATATTAAATTGGTTATCTTTGTTTTACATTTTTAACAACAACAATCCGAGTAAAATTCAACGTACATTTTTTAAATACGCGTATGTAAATAATTATTTTTATAAATCAGTGTTTGTTATGAAGAATAATGTTATGTAGTGGTTTCACAGTGGAGGCTTTTATTTGTACTAAGTCGGTCCTAAAATAGGTTCGACGTACAAAACGTTAGGAACATGGTATAGTAGGTAATGACGCAGTAATCTAAATGGGGTGGCTGATACTTTAATATCCGACTAACGGTCGTCCGACATCGACTGACTGACCAACTCGATATTTAGTCGCCCCCCCGCGAGGGCATCATGTGGCACAAGGTCGGTTTAACGTAAGATTTCAGAGCCCGTGGGCTCGGCCAAAAATATGCCCATTGAACCCGTATAAACGGATTCAGGGTTGGTTTACCTCCGCGAAAGAGAATCCGCCCTTCGGCGTAGCCTCGTTCGGGTTCCTCCCCACCCAAAGAAAGAGAGTTCAACCGATCAGCCAGTCGACTGACTGACCAACTCACTGAGTGACTGCTACTACTACTCCTCCTTATTATAGGTGGGAGAATCTATTAACTATAGAATAGGTGTGTTCCATTATAACAAATAATATAGAAAAAATATTAAATTAAATTTTTGTTCATTTTTTTTTTCTTCAAATGCGCAAATTTCTTTATAGCCATTTTGAAAAATTAGTCGTGCAAAAAGTTACATTCATTTTTTTTTACAATGACAGTATCAACATACTTTAGGTGTTATAAAAAACGAAAATTACTCCTTAAAAATTTCATAAATAATATATTCTTTATTATGAAGAATAATAGCATAAAGTAACAAATAAATTAACTTTCTGTGAGAAAATTCTTAATAATGACATTTTGTTTTGTGAATTTCGCTGTTTAAAATAATCGAAAAAAATGTAAAAAAAAGAGAAAGACGATATTAACAAAACGATAACGTCATCTCCTTTACATTTTTGTGGTATATTTTTAATAGTTGTAAAATATTAGATTTATCAAATTTAATTTTTGACATTAACTTTGTGATAATTTTTTTTAATTACTTGTATTATTTACATTATTCGGACTGTTATCCTCATCTCCGAACAATGTAAACAATGCAAGTAATCATAATACCTTATCTCAGAGATCTAATCACCTGAAGAAGGCCGGAGCGTACAACGGTCGGAACATTGTGAATATGGCAATGTAGATGAAGAAAACACTCTGAATAATGTACATAATGCAAGTAATCATAATACCTCATCTCAGAAATATAGACAGAAATTTTTTAATAAGTTTCATTTTTTTCTTTAATTTCGCAGTGAAAATCGTTATCTTTGTTTTTAATGGCTTCTCCTTATTTACGAATGACCGAAATGATAAAATTGTTTATATTTTGGCAGTATATGTTCATTAATACGTGTCTCATTGAATAATCTAAATTAGACTTGTCTACTTATTTTCAATAGAATCCACGGACAAACTTCTTAGGGTCTTTATTAAAGGAAGAAAGAACATTGCCATATTGATGCACCCTGATGATGGCATTGTCGAAAGTACTTGGAACGAATGAATATATTTCAACATGATAATTTTTTCTCTTTCTTTAATAAGGATACTAAGAAGCTTGTTCGTGAATATGAGAGGATCCTATTGAAAATGAGTTCACAGAACTTCTGTAAATAATTCAATGACACCAGACGCGTGGAATATCAACAGCTTTATTATTATTTTCTCTTCGAGATACATGTGCAGTCCATATTGCTGATCCTCAAATGATGTGGTTTCTATTATTTGGTACAGTTCTTTGTTTGTGATTCTGTAGCGCCAATCCACAATGTTCAAAGAAGTAGGTTTTCGCTAAGACACAAAGGATTCACTCGCTCAAAACCATTTTTAACCATTGATCTTTAGAAAGCCTTTTTGTATAGCTGACAATTTAGATATGATATGGATGATGGATTGATGATTGATTTGTCTGTTTAACGGCATATCAATACATTTATGGGTCACTAGCAGCATGGCCCGGCGTTGCCCGTGCTTGATTCAAAAATCGTACAACTCATACAGCAATCGCTATCACTTAACTTAAAATATTTTTGCCCTTCCTTGCCTTTAAAGGAGTGCCCTTTGCCGTGCTGATGTTGCTACATGCCTTACTTTTTTCTAAGCTCTATACTAAACATTAAATCTGTTACGAAAAAAGAACTAAACAAAATGAACACAAAACGATCAGCTTTAAAAAAAGGACTCGTAACTGGAAAAACCGAATGAAAAAAGAATGTTAACAACAAATACTTTTTCACACCCAACCCAGTTCTGCGTAATCAGAATCAACGTTGAGTTGAAGCAAGCGGATGAGCCAATTGGAATAAAGTGCCATGCAGATTTAAATTTTTCCCACTTGTGACGAATGCAGCTATCGATTTTTTTTCTTTTTGCATGCTAGCATGCTAGTTAATATTCGTGTCAGTCAGCTGTTGGCTCTCACGCTGGCCAATAGAATCTTCCTGCCTATTCGTCGCAACCAGCTATTGGCTCTCCCTCTGGACAGTAGAAAATGGCCGCAAACTACATGAAAACTGCCGTAGAAGCATGAAAAAATCGATTATTTCCACTATCGATGGGAGTTGGGAAATGCAACGTCGGTCTTGGTCTTTCCACTAACTTGAAGCATGTGCATGTAAATTTTGGCGCAAATCCGTCGAAAATTGCAACCGTGCATTCGTTACACACACACACACACACACACACACACACACACAGACATCTTGCCTTTTATAGATAGAGATTCTATTATTTATTGGAATGGTTGGCTAAAATCTTTGTGAAATGGTAGATAAGGAAGCATTTCCTTAGTCGGTTCACATATTTTAATAATTTAGTAAATGTTTTTTTTCATATTTATTTCTTGTTAAATGATAAATATTGTATTGCATTAGTTTTAACTGTATAAGTTTTTAGAATGTTGTAAATATAAGATTATTCATGTAAATAAACAATTTAATAGAGTATTTAAATGTTTTGTGTGTAAATTTTCAAGAACAAAGAAAAATGTATACATTCACTTTCATCATGTTTAGCTTCTACTTAAAAAAAAAAAAAAAAAACATTGCCGAAGAGTGAAGTTAGTTAAAAATCGGTGTCCCGTGAAAAATAGTCCTTTTGATACTGCGTATTATTGCAGGCACAAAGATCCGTGTATGCCGAAATTTCCATGATTCCTCGTACTTCGATAAGCTTTTGGAGTGCATTTTCTATGGACAAAATGCAAGGACAGTCACATTATTTAAACGAACCTTTTAAAATATATCTATTTATACATGTAACCATAGAAGTAAAATTGTCTATTAATTTTTTTTATTCATTCTGAAATGATGTTTTTGTCGTTATATCTTTGGCTCATACCGTTGTCGATGTACCGAGACAGACTTTTATATTAAAATAATTCCATCCGAAAATCAATCTGAGCAAGTTCTCAGAAAAGTCCCTTGTCTTTCCTTTTCAATTTCACATCTTTCCTAACTTCGCCAATTCATTTTCTATTTGGAAATATCCCAAATGCCAGTGAATATCTCCTTAAAAAATTCTAATTACAATCTGCTTCTCGTTATTCGTCTGATAAGGTCAAATGTGTAACG